TTTACAGGAAACTCACGTTGCTAAAAAACATAGACATGTCTTGATTAATAGAAGACTGGGAAAAGAGTTTGTAACCTCCAATGTTAATAAAAAAAGAGGGGTGGTGTTATATATAAAGGAGAGATTATTTACTAAATTGATTTCCAAAGATGATGAGGGAGAGTGATTGTGGTGCAAATTTCATTACAGGGTGAGAAGATAATTCTTGTGGGAATATATGCCCCTAATGGAAATAAAGCTGAATTTTTTGGAAAATTAGAGGAAAGATTGATGGAGTTTATAGATCAGAAAATAATTCTGATGGGGGATTGTAATGGGATGGTTAGGCCAGAAATGGATAGAATGTCAAAGAGAAAAAATATAAATGAGGGTAAACTCCCCAAAATTTCTTTGAATTGGTTGAAAACTTTGGTTTAATAGATACCTGGAGGTGGAAACACCCAATTACAAAACAGTTCACCTTTTTCTCGGAACCTCACCAAAGCTCGAGTCGAATAGACTATGTTTGTTGGTTTCTAAAGAACTGGTTTCCAGAGTAAATAAAATTGAGATCACTCCATGAACTCTATCAGACCACAATTCGATTTATCTGGAATTAAAAGGTATAGAACAATCCTCATTTAGATGGAGGATGAATGACACTTTATTTGAGAACCCAAAAATAGTAGCGAAAGCGAAAGAGACAATTAAGGATTATTTCGAATGGAATTTACATAAAGAAACCAGTCTGGACACTGTATGGGACGCGAATAAAGCTGTCATGAGAGGTTTCCTAATCCAGCAAAATAGCCATAAAAAGAAAGAAAGAGAAAGAAAAAAAGAAGAAATTCTGGTTCAACTCATGGAAAATGAGAAAAATTGATAATAAAACCAAAAGATGAACAAGTTAAACAGACTATTAAAATGCTACAAACTCAGTATTCCATGTTGGTGAATAAAGAAGTGGAATGGAAAGTAAAATTAATGAGACAAAAAAATGTTGAATCAGCAAATAAAACTGGGAAGCTTCTGGCATGGCAGCTGAGAAAACGTCAAAGTCAAAATTTAATTAATAAAATCAGGATAGGGGGAACAGCTGACGGAAGATCCAAAAGAAATAAGAAGAGCCTTTCAAGGATTCTATAAGGAACTTTACAGGAAAGAAAAAGAAGATATAAAAGAGATAGAAAGATATTTGGAAATTTATAAAGGAAAACAGATATCATTGGAGGAAAGAGAACAATTAAACGCCCCAATAACTAATCAAGAAATCCAAAAGTCAATAAAGAAGATGAAACAAGGCAAAGCCCCAGGACCGGATGGGTTAACCTCTAAATATTATAAATCACTTGGTGAGCAGCTAGTACCAGTTCTAGGGGAAGTAATGAATGCTATTTTACAAGGAAAAGGGAAAATACCACACTCCTGGAAGGAGGCTTATATAACGTTGATCCCCAAACAAGATACGGACCATCAGAGTGTTAAAAATTTCAGACCAATATCATTGTTAAACAATGACTATAAACTTTTTGCGGCTATCTTGGCCAACAGATTGAAGACAATATTAAATGATTTAATTCATAAAGACCAGGGAGGTTTCTTGCCAGGTAGGCAATTGAAGGATAATGTGAGACATATTATTAATATATTGGAATACCTGGAAGTAAGAAATGATAAGCCAGCCGTACTGATGTTCATCGATGCTGAAAAAGCATTTGATAATGTATCCTGGTCATTTATGAAGAACAGTATAGAAAAGATGGGGATCTGTGGCACCTTTTTAAAAGGAATTGAGGAAATTTACTCAGAGCAGAAAGCAAAATTAATTGTGAACAACACCTTAACAGACTCATTTGACATTACAAAGGGCACCAGACAAGGGTGCCCACTATCTCCGCTGCTTTTTATCAGTGTATTAGAAGTACTAATAAATTGCCTGAGAGGAAGAACAGAGATAAAAGGGGTCAAAATAGGCGCCAAAGAATTCAGACTTAAGGCCTACACGGATGACTTGGTATTAACCTTAGAAGAACCTCAAGAAAGTGTAAAAATAGCATTGGAAGAAATGGGGAAATTTGGGCAATTGGCAGGATTTAAATTGAATAAGACAAAGACGAAAATGTTAGGCAAAAATTTAGAAAAAAGTGAAGCAGAAAGGTTAGAACAAGAAACTGAACTCAAGGTGGTCAAAAAAGTTAAATATTTGGGAATTTGGATGACGGCAAAGAACATAAACTTATTCAGTGACAATTACCAACCAGTCTGGAAGGAGATTAAAAGAGATTTAGAAATATGGGACAGACTAAAGCTGTCAATGACTGGAAGAATGTCAGCGATCAAAATGAACTTATTACCGAAAATGGTATTTTTGTTCCAGACAATCCCGATAATAAGAGGTTAAAGACAATTTAAAGAGTGGCAAAAGATTCTCTCTCACTTTATATGGCAAGGGAGAAGACCAAGGATGAAATTTAAAATATTGACGGATAAGAAAGAAAGGGGGGGGGTCGCTGTACCTGATCTGAAACTCTATTATGAAGCGGCGTGTTTATGTTGGATAAAGGAGTGGATAACCCAGGAGAACCCAGATCTGTTAGATTTGGAGGGGCACAACAATAGATGGCACTCCTATCTTTGGTATGGTAAGGCAAAAGTGCATAAAGGGTTTACAAATCATGTGATAAGGGGTGCTTTATTTGAAGTCTGGGACAGAAACAAGAATTTGTTGGAAAGGAAACACTGTGGTGGGTGTCACCAATTGATATGTTAACAGTTAAAAAATTGAACATAGAAGGGAGAGGGGCCACCTATGAGGAGATTCTGATGAAGGCCGAAAAAGGTTGGAAATTGAAGCCTTATGATTGTATTGCTGGAAAATTGACAGGATGGTTGCAATACCATCAAGTCAATGATGTTTTTAAAGATGACAAAAAATTAGGATTTGAAGACAAAAAAATCGAAATTTCAAATGGACATTATAGAAAGTAGGTCTAAGCTACTTTCAAAAATGTATAATCTCCTATTAGAATGGAATACAAAAGACGAACTTATAAAAGAAGCTATGATAAAATGAGCTATTGATCTAGGACACAACATAGACTATGATGTATGGGCCAAACTCTGGAATGAGAGTATAAAATTCACCGCTTCTTCTGCCTTAAAAGAGAATGTTATGAAGATGGTCTATCGTTGGTATCTTACTCCCACCAAATTGGCAAAAATGTACAGAACTAGTAGTAAAACTTGCTGGAAATGCAAGGAAAAGGATGGCGACTTCTATCATATGTGGTGGTCATGTAATAAATTAAAAGAGTTCTGGGAATCGATTTATAACGAGTTAAAAAAGATGTTTAAGTATTGTTGTTGTTGTTTAGTCGTTTAGCCGTGACCGACTCTTTGTGACCCCATGGACCAGAGGACGTTTAAGTATAGCTTTCCCAAAAAGCCGGAAGAATTCTTGCTAGGTTTGGTGGGAGAAGATATTAAGAAGATTGATCAAAGATTATATCTGTATGCAACAACAGCAGCTAGAGTTCTGACAGCTCAAAAGTAGAAGCAACAGGAGATGCCGACAATAGGAGAATGGCAGATAAAGCTGGTTGAATAGGCTGAGATGGCTAAATTGACACACAGAATTCGCAATCAGGAGGAGACAAAGTACCAAAAAGAATGGTGTACATTTTTGATTTATATAAGTGAGAACTGTACAAATTTGAAAACGTTGGCAGGATTGAAGTAAATCTTATGTCATGTTGTAATATGTAATCAAAGAAACTGTGAATTATAGAATAGAATAGGAAAAATGATGGAAGGGAAGGATGGAAGTCAACAGCTCTACGGAGCATAAAGTAGGATATATGTAATAAGATATGATGTTTTATTGGTGTTGGTGGGTGTTGGTGGGTGATCTTTAATCTCAATAAAAATTATTTAAAAAAGAAAATAAAATTGTGTTTTTACTAAGAAAGAGTTAACTCAAACTTTCGTGGAACCAGAAAAACCTGAGTCCCCCTAAAAAAAGGAGGCAAAGCTTGCTGGCTCTCTTTAACAGTGAGACCGAATTGTCTGCCTCAACATTCAGTCTGAGCTGTTACATGACTGAAATGTGTCCCAGTATAGGACTGTCATTGATTAATCTCCCCCAGGAATTTCAAAACGACACTTTAAGAAGTATCTGAATTTGTAGAAGAGGGAGAGGCCACAACAAACTTTAAAGTAAATACCTTAGAATATTTACATGGTTTTGCAGAAGAAAATATGCTGTACTCGTTGACTGAGTCTTAAAGAATTCCTGAAGTATTAGCTTTGGTGGGGGTTGCGCAGCACATCTGCTGTGGCACTCCCCATTTTACCTCTAGTGGCGAAATGGGATAGACCACTCTTGACAGCAAGGCAGCCCAAAGTCTGCCATTCTTCTCAGGTAGGGACTTTATCTTCCTTCCATTTCTTTTTCTCCCCATTTTACCTTAAGTGGAGAAATGGGATGCACCACCCAAAGTCGGCTAATATTAATTGATTAAAATTGGACCTGAAAGTCTGGTCAGGGATTTCACCCCTGCCCGCTGCCAAAGCTATCTCCCACCTCCAAGCACTATTATTTCCCCCAAGAAATGTTGCTTTTGGTAAAATGATACAACATACATGATTTGCCATATATATTTATTTTGGACATGATTCAATGACCTGTTCGACACTGGAATTTGCTGCCAAGGAGTGTGGTGGAGTCTCCTTCTTTGGAGGTCTTTAAGCAGAGGCTTGACAACCATATGTCAGGAGTGCTCTGATGGTGTTTCCTGCTTGGCAGGGGGTTGGACTCGATGGCCCTTGTGGTCTCTTCCAACTCTATGATTCTATGACCTCATTTGCACCTGAAAGTCAACTACAGCCTGTCTTTAAGGAGGAGCTTCTAGACTTCTAGAAAGAAAGCCTGGGTGTCCTCAGGCTGAGACCTCCCCTGCTTCAACCACTAGGCCTCCAATTTCCATAAATGGTGGGTTCTTCTGGGCTACAGTTTCTCTCAGCTACAGCTCATTGGAATCCTCGTCCATTGCTTCAGTGCACTTAAATTGAGTGATCTCAATTCCTAATGATTCAAGACCAGTCTCCAGCAACCCCTCAGTGTAGTCACAGAAACTAGCTGTTCCACAGCCTCGGAGAGCGCCTAGGATGCTGCTTCCCCCTGTTGGGAAAAACACACACATATATTTTGGAATCCAAAACCCACTCCCTCAAACAGAAGGGTGGGCAACTTTTCTCAGACCAAGAGCCTTTTTCCAGTCTGGGTGACCTTCTGGGAGGTCCACATGCCAATGGAAACATATGTAAAATTCACCTTTACACTGCAGGCTATTTTATACATACATTCAACCCCCCCTCTCTATACCCCCTCCAGGTAACCAAGATTCAGGGGCAACAATCCAGCCAGGCCAAAGCATACAGGTAGGGTATGAAGTGGGGCTTGTGAGGGGTGTGGCCTATGGAGAGGAGGTGTGTCTAAGGATCCCAAAGCCCAGAGAGAGAGAGTCCTAGAGGAATGCCTTTGGCCCCTGGGCCTGTGGGTCTCCATCCTACCCCTCCCCCCCCAATTTAAAGTGCAAATTTAAAGATGTATTTTTATTTAACAAAATCTATGCTTTAAATGTATAGTACAGATGGGGCATTAGCTGCACTCCATCATACAAGACTCACCGAAGTTCAGGCGAGCCCCAATGTAGAAGCATTGATCCTCCTCATTTCTGCAGCTGACGGTCTTATTGCCCTCACACTCGTCTGAATAGATGGAGAAGCAACTCGAGCACTTCAGCCCATTGAGCTCCCTCGTCTCACTCTCAGGCACTGGAAAACAATCACCACACCACACCAACATTGCAATTAGTCAATGTATTTCTTTTTCAGATGCAAACCACAACTTGCTGTATGTGAGGGGTGGGAATTGTGCTTCCCTTCCAAGATGGATGCGTACCACCTTCTAGCACTTCTGCAAGTGGAGTGCTTCAGCCATACTCCATTCATCCAGGGCTACATTAATGCATGGTGCAAGAGATTTCTGACAGGGGCCACATTAACAGAATACATTTCAAGCACAGGGATACCACTTTAAGCAATTGGGCTTAGCACTGAGCACCACTGGGGGGCATTCTGAGAGACAAAATGGTAGCCGGCTTCAAGGAAGTAAACCAAGGTGCAAAATGAACACTCAAGCCCTTCAAGATCTCATTAAGTGGGATTGCTTCCAAAGGACTCTTAAGGACCATCTGCATTCAGAATTCCCTGATAAGATCGAGGAACACTGCACCAAGCTAAAAACATCCATTATTGCAGCTTGTGAACAAACTATTGGATACCAAACCAAGGAACACCAGAACTGGTGTGCTGTTATTCCTATCTTCCTCTGCACCTGAGGGTCTCAGGATGCAATTCATGGTAGCTCACTAAGTCAGGCTCCGGCTCAGTGCAGCTTCCAGCTTTGGGGTTCTTCGTTCAAATCCCAACCCTAGCTTCTGTCTCTAGTTTGAAAAGGATGGTGATACAGGCCTGCGTCAGCAGCTGGTGTATGCCAGGAGCCTAGCCGGGGCTTACAGATTGAACCTTCGTATTAACTGTTTCAGTGAGGGCCACATTTCCTTCTAGGCAAGCTTCTCAGGGCCACATGACAGTGACAGGGCCTGTTGTGAAAGTGAGTGGAGCAACAAATGTAATTTTTTAAACTTTTTATTCTTTGCACCACCTGGTTGTTCTCCCCTTTGTGTAGATAGTGTTCCTCTATAGCTTAGTAATTAGGTGGCACTGGAGCCCATTGCATCTAATACATCTTTCTTAGCATTTGCTTTCACCTGAAGATATTAATTCCCTGAATGCAAACCTAAAAGAAATCAGTTCCTTCCTCTACAAGAAGGACAGAGGACTGTCCCACAAATATATCTCTACAAACACAAATGCATCAAAGAAAATGGGTCACTCTAGGTTTGGGGGCTAGAACTCTGGGCAACCAATGAACCAGTGAAGTGTAGTGGTTAGAGGGTTGGACTAGAATCTAGGAGACCAGGGTTCAAATTCCACTGTAGCCATGACACTTGCTGAGTGGCCTGGGGCCAGGAACCATCTCTCAGCTTAACCTATTTCACTGGATATTTTGAGGCTAAAATGGTGAGTGGGAGCTCAAGCTTTTTGGAGGAAAGCATAGGATGTAAATAACAGAAGCAGCTGTCAGAGAGGAACTGTAAAATTATGGGAGGGGTGTTTCTAGCACTAAGGTAAAACTGTGATGCTCCCTTGTAATTTTTGCTAATAGATGCTGTATGTTGTTCACGTAATCTTCTTACTGGGATTTTGGGTTTTGTTCTATTAGTTCCCGCCACCCCCATACTATGGCTCCAATGCTTCCCTTCTGGTTCCCTCTGTCAGTGGCTCCTCCCTGTCCCACCAATCTGAATCAGGTTTGAAATCTTCTTTCCTAGTGTCACCCTCGGGCACCTCCTGGAGTGTCTGGCTGCCACCACTCCTCCTTGTTTAGTCAGTCCCTGACATCAGGATACTGCCAAAAACTTGTTTGTCTTTCTTTGACCTCTCTCATTGCTTGAGTTTTGTGAGACCAGCTTTCCTGATGATGATACTTACTTTCAGGAGGTCCGCTGTTGCACATATCTGTCTTGCAGCAGGAGAGCTTGCTGTGGGCGTACAGTGATGAGGTTATGGAGACACTGACATAGTCTGCATCGCACAACTCTGTATTGATGCAGGACTTGAAAACCACTCTTGACCCGAAAAGTGCTATAAAAGAAAGAATTGGAATAGGAAATAACTAGACCTGGGGATAGGGCTGGTCCACCCATGAGGCAAGGGTTCATGGTCACCTTATGGGCAGGATCCAGAGGGGCAGGGGATCTGACCACCAAGAAAAGCATCGCCTGATGCTGCTGCCTTTGAAGCTGTGGTGTGATCCTTGGAGGCAAGATCTGCCACCTCCTCGTCAGTTCCTCTCCCCCATTTGAGCCACCCCATGTCTCTGTTGTTCGTGACAGGGACCTTGGAGCTCCTTCCTTTTTCTTTTTTAATATAATGTTTATTAAAATTTCTTTTTCCCTTTATAACAGCCAAATAAAATTTCTTCATCACATATATGTTTGCTCAAATTGAGCATTGACTACCTCCCATCCCCCTCCCTGACTTCCATATGCAATCGCTTTTATTTCGCATTTCTAAATCACCCTATTTACTTTATCTCCATACTTAACAGACTTACTTCTAATATTTATAAACAGGTATCAAATCATAACCTAACAAAATATTTTAAATCAATCCTGCAAATGTTTTAAAATGTTTGCAATGTCTATTCATATATTGTACAAATCTACTCCAGTCCTTTTCAAACATTTCGTCTCGCTGGTTTCAGATTTCCCCCATCGCAAGTTTAAAAGGTAAAGGGACCCCTGACCATTAGGTCCAGTTGTGACCGACTCTGGGGTTGCGACGCTCATCTCGCTTGATTGGCCGCGGGTGCCGGCGTACAGCTTCCGGGTCATGTGCCAGCATGACTAAGCCACTTCTGGCGAACTAGAGTAGCGCACGGAAGCGCCATTTACCTTAACGCCAGAGCGGTACCTATTTATCTACTTGCACTTTGACTTGCTTTCGAACTGCCAGGTTGGCTGGAGCAGGGACCGAGCAACGGGAGCTCACCCCGTCGCGGGGATTCGAACCACTGACATTCTGATTGGCAAGTCCTAGGCTCTGTGGTTTAACCCACAGCGCCACCTGCATCAAATACCACCTCGGAGCTCCTTTCTGAGGCTCCCTCTGCCTCGCTGGTGCCCGTGCAGGCACACTGCCTCTTTCCTTGTGGGGTGGTCATTCGCAAAGCGCAGGCTGCAAAGCCACCCTACCTGTGCCTTGCAGGGCTGCCTGCACTGCCTGGCTGCCTTCGACTGGCAGAGTGGCTTCCGTCTTTCCTTCTGTGCTGAAAAAGCAGGCAGGTGGCAGCCAAGGCTGTCTCTCGCCGGAGCCTGCACTCCACCCATGCTCTTGTAGCTGGGGAGGAGGAGCACTTTAACTGAGCCCCTGCCCCACTACTGGCTCATTTGGGGTTTCCGCAAAATTGCTTGGCTGAGGCGAGGGCAGCGGTGTGCTCTTAACCCAAGCAGTTTAAGGAGGGAGGGAGGAATAATCTTTATAAGCCTTGTCATACAGCTTGTTTCTCCCACTGCCGGTAGGAAGGACAGAGCATGATGGTGATTTCACTCAGCGATATATCTTTCATGAAACTGCCACCCCTCCTGAGTCCCTCTGCTTCCAGCTCCAGGCTGCAGCTTGTTTAGTTTTTCCTCAGTGTGCTGGGTGCTGGAGGCAGAGGGAATCAGGATCGGCATGGTTTCCCCCACCGATTTACTGCTGAGTGAAGCTGTCATCACGGTCTGCCCCTCATACCGGTCCTGAGATGATATATCAATTAATCGCCCAGGCCTAATCTTCAGTCACCCTTTCTTCCGGGTCTGCGGGGTGGGGAACATTTTATGGTTTGCCTCAGGTATCCAATTGTGTTGAGCTGGCCCTGCTTGGAGCAGAAAGAGATTTCTCCAGTTTTATCTATTTGTTGAATGTGAGTCAGGAATGGAGAACCTTTGGCTGTTTGGAGAACCTATTTAAGTTACTGTATATTTCGGACTATAGGACGCACCGGCCCATAGGACGCTCCTAGTTTTCAGGGGGGGAAATCAAGGGAAAAAATATGATTTCCCCCCCCCCCGCAGCTCTGGGAGCAGCGGACAGGCTGCATGCAGCCTGTCCGCTACTCCAAGACCTTCTCCCTGCTTTTGCGGGGGGTGGCGGAATTCCCCCACCTCCCGCAAAAGCCCACAGGAGCCCTGCGCGACTCCTGCGGGCTTTTCGACCAGGAGGGAGAAGGGACTGAAACGGCCAGTCAGTCCCTTCTCCCTCCTCGGGGAAAAGCCCCCAAGAGCGGCGCGCTCTTTAAAGGGTGCGCGGCTCCTGCAGGCTTTTCTAGGAGGTGGGGGAATTCCCCCCCTCGTAGAAAAGCCAGCAGAAGCCGCGGAGCCCCTTTAAAGAGCACGAGGCTTTTGCGGGCTTTTGCGGGAGGTGGGGGAATTCCCCCATCTCCCCCAAAAGCCCGCAGGAGGGAGAAGGGACTGACTCGGCCAGTCAGTCCCTTCTCCCTCCTTGGGGAAAGCCCCCAAGAGCCGCTTGCTATTTAAGGGGGGGGCGGCGCGTGCGGGATTTTCTTGGTGGGGGGGGAATTCCCCCACCTCCTAGAAAAGCCACGGAGCCCCTTTAAAGAGCGCACGGCTTTTGCCTGCTTTTGCGGGAGGTGGGGGAATTCCCCCATCTCCCGCAAAAGCCCAAAGGAGGGTTGGAGGGTAGCGGCAAGGCGTCGCGCGCCTTCCCGCTGCCCCCCCATCCTCTAGGGCTGGCGATGGGGAAGCGCTGCTTCCCCACCGCCAGCCTCGAGCCGGGTTGGAGGGTAGCGGCAAGGCGTCGCGCGCCTTCCCGCTGCCCCCATCCTCTGGGGCTGGCGATGGGGAAGCGCTGCTTCCCCACCGCCAGCCTCGTAGCCGGGTTGGAGGGTAGCGGCAAGGCGTCGCGCGCCTTCCCGCTGCCCCCCATCCTCTGGGGCTGGCGATGGGGGAAGCGCTGCTTTCCCCACCACCAGCCTCGAAGCCGGGTTGGAGGGTAGCGGCAAGGCGTCGCGCGCCTTCCCGCTGCCCCCCATCCTCTGGGGCTGGCGATGGGGGAAGCGCTGCTTTCCCCACCGCCAGCCTCGAAGCCGGGTTGGAGGGTAGCGGCAAGGCGTCGCGCGCCTTCTCGCTGCCCCCCATCCTCTGGGGCTGGCGATGGGGGCAGCGCTGCTTTCCCCCACCGCCAGCCTCAAAGAGCAGACTCTCCTGGCTTCAGCGGAGCAACGCGAAGCCTCCGGAGCGCAGGCTTCGGAGGCTTCGCATTGCTATCGCTGAAGCCGAGGAGTCTGCATTCGCTCCATAGGACGCACACACATTTCCCCTTCATTTTTGGAGGGGAAAAAGTGCGTCCTATGGTCCGAAAAATACGGTACATTATAGTCCAAAGGCTATCCTCATCAGGAAATAAGGATTTGTTTTAAGTTTTTCTTGTGTGCTATAACTCCCTCCAGGGACGTGGGTGGCACTGTGGGTAAAACCTCAGTGCCTAGGACTTGCTGATCGTATGGTTGGCGGTTCAAATCCCTGCGGCAGGGTGAGCTCCCGTCGTTCGGTCCCAGCTCCTGCCCACCTAGAAGTTCGAAAGCACTCTTAAGTGCAAGTAGATAAATAGGTACCGCTCTATATCGGGAAGGGAAATGGCGTTTCCATGTGCTGCGCTGGTGCTGGCTCGCCAGCCGCAGCTTCGTCACGCTGGCCACGTGACCCGGAAGTGTCTGCGGACGCCGCCGGCTCACTGCCTCTAGAGCGAGATGAGCACGCAACCCTAGAGTCGGACACGACTGGCCAGTATGGGCAGGGGTACCTTTACCTTTACCTTTATAACTCCCTCCAAGGTATTTCTTAAAAAATCATTTAACCACATCAGTTAAGAAACATGGATACATATGCTATAATGTTATTGTTTTAGTTAAATAAATTGTTTAAATTGTTATTAATGAAATGATTATTTTTTCCTTCCAATAAAGTACAGCAGAAAAGTTGTCCAAATATAAACAGTTAATTTATTAAACCTCACAAAAATTTCATAATTATCTGTCAATGTATTTCTAATAGTATAACCAAATCAGTAATTTTTGATATAACTGTAAAAACCACTCTGAAAATTTATTATTCCAAAACAAAACCTTCATCTCGTAAATATTAAGATTATACCAGCAAGAATGAGTCTTTCTGTAAAAAAAAATTTAAATCAAGTCTTACTGGCTTGTGATTTAAATCGTGATTGAAACCAAATCCACCCTATAAGTGGAGCAATGAGAGTCGATGCTGGAGCTCATAAAGGGAGCATGTACCACAAGCAATTAGGAAGGGGCAATATGTCAGTGTCAGTTTCTCTTGGTTTCTTATTTTAAATTCATTTCTCCACATTTTCATATCAGTTTCCAACTCCTCATCCCCACCATCAACATTTAGTGTGAATGTAATTTGTACTCTTAGGCCCTATCTGCAGGGTCATACTGATTTAAGCAGTCATGGTTTCCCCCTTGGGGGGGGGGCAGGGTGTTTGTTGACTATATTGGCTGTGAATCCTGGCAGACTAGCTCTCTCCCTTGCAGGTCATTTTTCACTTGGCCTGGGAGATGGGAACCTGACAGACTCCAACTACAAAAGCTTGTAGGTTATTGTATGCATACTTTACCCTAGTATGTGCATTTGTCTATAGATTACATGGCTGGACAACTGAATTGCAAAAATGGGAGAAGGGCAGATTCTGAAGGATGGCTTTGTTTTGCTCTGCCAATTGAGTAAACACACCTTTAAATATGAACTGACTTGAATTTCTTCCCTGCTCCTACAGGAAATGCAGAACCTAGAACACTACTTTATCAAAAGTCATGTTCCGTGGCTTGTGGCTAAGATATGGCCTTAGAAAGTGAGTCAGGGGGTTTACGTTTTGGTAATCAAAGAGGTTGAAAGTTCTTCTCACTTACACAGTTTGCCTTCTCCACCGGCAGACAAGCAGGACTGGTCACTGGAATCGTCACACTCCTCAGTGGTGGCATTTCTGCAATCTTTTCCTTGACTGAAACAAGACTCACATATCAGAGATGCCACTGCAGACAGGGGGAAAATGGGTTTAGAAAACATTAGTAACTGTGTAGGAGGAATAGGTCTGCGTCAAGGTACATGAACACAACACTTTTTGCTACAAACTTCATCTTACTAGAGGCAGCAAAGGTCACTGACTTGGATAGCTTCAAAAGCGGACTAGATACATACATGGTTACCATCCTCAATTGATATATTTTTTCTGCAATATTGTAGGCACTATTTGTCTGAATACTAGTTACTTGAATCTACATAAAGTGAGCTGTTGCACTCAGATCTTTCTTAGGGGCTTCCCATAGGACCCATGGCAAGAACAAGAGGCTAGACTAGATGGACCATTGTTCAGCTACATAATGCTTTCTATATATATTCCTTCTGTAGTTCTTAAACTCTGTGAATAGGGGTGGGCCTTGCATAGACCAGAGAATGATTGTAGAAAATGACTCCTGCAGTCTGAGGGAGAGGACCAGTAGAGAAGGTGTGGGAAACCTTTAACCCTCCCGAAGTTGTTGTACTACAACTCCCATCAGCACCAGCAAACATGACAGACTCTGGTAAGCACATCTGGTACCCCTGTGACCTGACTCCACTCAGAGATTGGGGTGGCATTTAACACCAGGAAACTTAAAGTTTGCATGGGGGGGCAGGGTAATTCCGCTCCAAAATATGAGAAGAATAGTGCCTATACATTGTCTCCTATCATAAACTTCTACAAATGCAAGAAACTTACTCTTTGCTTTAAATATGAGCTAGGATTCTGGTTCATCGAAGAGTGAACTACTGCCTTTCTCGCTCCCCCAATGTACTTGGGGATGCCACAGCTCTCTGCATGCATTTGGTAAAATAAAAATTGAATATTGGTAACAAAACAATAGAGCATTGAGGATCCTTTGTAATCCGGCCTTGTGCTTTATTCCTCTCCCTTTCAAAGGAACCACAAGTCCTGGTTCCTTCCTCATCCTGCTTTAATTGCTGACACCCCCCCCCACCTCGTTCCTTCCTGGAAACATGACGAACAGCCCAGCGGCTGTGGTTCTGCTCACCTGGAGGAAGCAGGGCCAAGAGGAGGCAGGAGATCAGGAGTGTCTTCATCATTCTAGAGAGCTGAAAAGGCAGGAAGGAGTTCGAGAACAGCACTGGGCCAAGCAAGGAACTGATGCATGAAGAGGCTTAGTTGGAGGAATTTATAGAGGATTGCAAGGAGTACTTTGCCAGCACCCAGGAACAATGGATTCAGGACAGTGTCATAAATTGCTAGAATTCTAATTATGCTATACCATAATGTAAAGCACAGTGTTGAAAACCAATTAAATCTCTTCCCCCTTCCAATAACTCCAAGGACACGTCCCTCCTAATCTGTGCCAGCCTCAACTTCTCAAGCCTGGATGTGGGGAAACGGGTCCCATCAGGTTACAGCACTGAAATTGGATTAGGCTTCTGGAAGCCAAGGCAGTTTCCCTGACAGTATGAACTTTTTTGAAAGGGGGACAAATGTCTGTCCACAGTTTCCTTTGTGGTACAGTAATAAAATGCACAGTGACCCGGATCCCCTCCCTCCCATTAAATGCACTTGTTTGGGGTAAAGAATTGGTCCACTTGCTCTTTAAAATAAGTTGATTAGAGTTAAGAGAGTCCCATGGACTGCAAAAAGATCAAACCTATCCATTCTGAAGAAATCAGCCCTGAGTGCTCACTGGAAGGACAGATCCTGAAGCTGAGTCTCCGATACTTTGGCCACCTCATGAGAAGAGAAGACTCCCTGGAATAGACCCTGATGCTGGGAAAGATTGAGGGCAGGAGAAGGGTACGACAGAAGACGAGATTGTTGGACAGTGTTCTCGAAGCCATTAACATGAATTTGACCAAACTGTGGGAGGCAGTGGGTGACAGGAGTGCCTGGCGTGCTCTGGTCCAGGGGGTCACGAAGAGTCAGGCACGACTAAACGACTAAACAACAACAGAGTTAAGAGCAGGTGGGGGGATTGCAGGTCTGTGTCCAGAGGAGATTGCAGATTTAAGGGACTATCTTTTACTGGGGTTGGATATACACAAGCACAGCTCCACGTCCTTTGCTTTGGTTTCTCTTGTGATGCTGATGAAACTCAAAGACATCGTGAATGATGTGGATTTGGCATTTGGACAATGAGAGATGGAGAGTGGCAGCACCACAGATGTCCTTCCACAGATGGGAACTTCCACAGATGGGAAGTGCTGGGTGAGATCCCATGGACAGTAATACTAAAGGGAAAGGGAGTTCATGATGGCTGGGAGTTTGTTAAGAGGGAGATACTAAAAGCACAACTTCAGGCAATACCAATGAGACGGAAACATGGAAGGTGCCTAAAGAAGCCAGGGTGGCTATCTAAAGAACTTTTAACTGAGTTAAGATTAAAAAAGGATGTGTACAAAAAATGGAAAAGGGGGAAACCACCAAAGAGGAATTCAAACAAATAGCCAGCACGTGTAGACACAAAGTCAGAAAAGCTAAAGCACAGAATGAACTCAGGCTTGCTAGAGAGGTTAAAAGCAACAAAAAGGCTTTTATGGGTATGTCCGTAGCAAAAGGAAGAACAAAGAAACAGTGGGGTCACTCAGAGGAGAAGATGGTGAAATGCAAACAGGGGACACAGAAAGAGCTGAACTCCTCAATGCCTTCTTTGCCTCAGTCTTCTCCGATAAAGAAAACAATGCCCGACCTGAAGAATTTGGAGCAAATGATTCAGCAAAGGAAACACAGCCCAGAATAACTAAGGAGATAGTACAAGAATACTTGGCTAGTTTAGATGTATTCAAGTCTCCAGGGCCAGATGAACTGCATCCAAGAGTATTAAAAGAACTGGCAGATGTGATCTCAGAACCACTGGCAGTCATCTTTGAGAATTCCTGGAGAACAGGCGAAGTCCCGGCAGACTGGAGGAGGGCAAATGTTGTCCCTGTTTTCAAAAAGGGGAAAAGAGAGGACCCAAATAATTACCGCCCAGTCAGTCTGACATCAATACCAGGGAAGATTCTGGAGCAGATCATTAAGCAAACAGTCTGTGAGCACCTAGAAAGGAATGCTGTGATCACCAATAGTCAGCATGGATTTTTGAAAAATAAGTCATGTCAGACTAACCTGATCTCGTTTTTTGACAGAATTACAAGCCTGGTGGATGAAGGGAACGCAGTGGATGTAGCCTACCTTGATTTCAGCAAGGCATTTGACAAGGTGCCTCATGATATTCTTGTAAAGAAGCTGGTAAAATGTGGTCTTGACTATGCTACCACTCAGTGGATTTGTAACTGGCTGACTGACCGAACCCAAAGGGTGCTCATCAATGGTTCCTCTTCATCCTGGAGAAGAGTGACTAGTGGGGTGCCACAGGGTTCTGTCTTGGGCCCGGTCTTATTCAACATCTTTATCAACGACTTGGATGATGGACTCAAGGGCATCCTGATCAAATTTGCAGATGACACCAAATTGGGGGGGTGGCTAACACCCCAGAGGACAGGATCACACTTCAAAACGACCTTGACAGATTAGAGAACTGGGCCAAAACAAACAAGATGAATTTTAACAGGGAGAAATGTAAAGTATTGCACTTGGGCAAAAAAATGAGAGGCACAAATACAAGATGGGGGACACCTGGCTTGAGAGCAGTACATGTGAAAAGGATCTAGGAGTCTTGGTTGACCACAAACTTGACATGAGCCAACAGTGTGACGCGGCAGCTAAAAAGCCAATGCAATTCTGGGCTGCATCAATAGGAGTATAGCATCTAGATCAAGGGAAGTAATAGTGCCACTGTATTCTGCTCTGGTCAGACCTCACCTGGAGTACTGTGTCCAGTTCTGGGCACCACAGTTCAAAAAGGACATTGACAAACTGGAACGTGTCCAGAGGAGGGCAACCAAAATGGTCAAAGGCCTGGAAACGATGCCTTATGAGGAACGGCTAAGAGAGCTGGGCATGTTTAGCCTGGAGAAGAGGAGGTTAAGGGGTGATATGATAGCCATGTTCAAATATATAAAAGGATGTCACATAGAGGAGGGAGAAAGGTTGTTTTCTGCTGCTCCAGAGAAGCGGACACGGAGCAATGGATCCAAACTACAAGAAAGAAGATTCCACCTAAACATTAGGAAGAACTTCCTGACAGTAAGAGCTGTTCGACAGTGGAATTTGCTGCCAAGGAGTGTGGTGGAGTCTCCTTCTTTGGAGGTCTTTAAGCAGAGGCTTGACAACCATATGTCAGGAGTGCTCTGATGGTGTTTCCTGCTTGGCAGGGGGTTGGACTCGATGGCCCTTGTGGTCTCTTCCAACTCTATGATTCTATGATTCTATGATTCTATGAGTTTTCTTGCTGCAAAGTTAGTACAGTGGTACCTTGGGTTACAGATTCTTCAGGTTACAGACTCTGCTAACACAGAAATAGTACCTCGGGTTAAGAACTTTGCTTCAGTATGAGAACAAAAATCAGGCGGCAGCGGCTCGGTGGCAGAGGGAGGCCCCATTAGCTAAAGTGGTACCTCAGGTTAAGAACAGTTTCTGGTTAAGAACGGACCTCCAGAATGAATTAAGTTCTTAACCAGAGGTACTACTGTATACTATATCCAATTGCTGACACAGCTTAATTAACACAACTTAACAGCATCTGCTATACTGTTTCACAGCTGTAAAACTAGGTCATGATATTTACTCTGGCCTTTAAAGAGATACACATCTTGTAAAACAATAAGGAACCTTAATATTTAAATAAACCATTCAACACAAAGAGGTTAGCTCAAATGTATAAGAATGTACCTAATAAGTGTTGGAAATGTAAATATTGCAAGGGGTCATTCTGCCACATGGGGTGGACCTGCAAGGAGGGTAAGGTCTTTTTGGACATGTTATATAATGATTTTTAAAAAATCAAAAATCAGACTGATTTTTCCAAGAGTCCAGAACCCTTCTGGCTGGGGATATTGATGAGCAAAATTCCAAATCAAGGTATCTTTATGCTCACAGGTGGAAAGTTGTGAGACTACCCTGAAGTAAGTTCTTAACCTGAGGTACCACTGTATTATGTATATATTTGTGTAATATATAATGCTGCTACATAATTTACTGTAAGCTTAGATTCTTCACATTGTTTCTTCTAAGAAGAATGGGACTCCCAGATGTTGGTAATCACAATGGAGGGGGTGGGGAGAGTGACATTGGGCTCATGTCCTCTTCCTTCACCATCTTCTTCTTCATATTATAAGAGGGAATTATTATAAGATGATGTACCGATGTTATTTCACTCTGAAGAGCTTAGATCGAATATATAAGAATGTACCAAAAGAATGTTGGAAATGTAAGAATTGCATGGGGCCATTCTGTCACATGTGGTAGACCTGTAGGAAGGCTAAGGTTTTTGGGGGTATGATATATAATATGGGGAGGGGGGGGAATCAAACTGACTTTTCCAAGAGTCCAGAACCCTTCTGGCAGGCGATATTGGTCAGCAAAATTCCAAACTCTGTTTATGTATGCAGCTACAGTAGCAAGGGATCTTTATGCTCAGAGGTGTAAAGTTGTGAGAATACCCTGAAAGGAAGAATGGATGGTGAAAACCTTAGAATATGCAGAGATGGCAAAGGTAAAGCAGGAGAGGCTGATAAAACGTAGGCCCTTCCCCACATCATGCATTGCATCTGAGGGTCAAGCAGAGGGCAAGGCCTCCCTGGGCGGCATGGAGGGGGGAGTGCAAAGAGTCTAGATTTCGCTTCTACCCCAAAAATATTTTATGTTTGTGTCCAATGTTGCCACCTTCTAAAATTTATTTATTGGTGCATGCTTTTCTCTCGTAAATGTACCAAACCTGAAATAAAATAAAACTGGGATAATGGGGTATTCTCAGGTCAGTGGAGGATGTACGTGCTGTGTCCTGTTCGTGATGTGGTTGTGGAACTTGCCATTCTTCTGATAGAAAATGCTGTGTGGGGGCATGGGGTGGGGGACAAAAATGGGGGGAGTGTCAGTTGTGGGGAGTGAGAAATGTCCATGTTTTCATCTGAGGAATGTTGGAGGGTATGCAGTGGCTCTTGAACATCAATATGAAGCTGTTGGGAAGAGTCAATTGGAGTTTTGG